CGCCTACAGACAATTCTAAGAGTTTCAATCGGAACTCATTTTTATGCTTTGATGGTCCAGTCAAGTAGTAGGGATCTCGAAACTTGTTCAAGGCAAGAGACCAAATTTTTACAGGATAAAGCCTAACAACGAAGAGCTTAAAACCAGTGAAAAAGAACATACCATTTGTACCAGCTTCTCATTACAACTTCATTAATCTATTATTACCGTAAACATCAATATGCAAAAGATAATTGAGCAAATACACTACTCTTTGTTAAAAACTTACCAACTCATTAAAAACTTTTTTATACGACCCGCAGCAACAGCAAGCGATTTCCTACTTCCTTGAACAATCAATTTTTTTCTGAATGGTATGGAAGTAAAAACCAACTTCTCTCGGAATTCGTCTTTTAATGAGGACAAAAAACTCCTTCCGCTCCTAAGTCACTTCTTGGGTTGAAAATTAGAAAATTTTTTTGAAAATATTAAAATAAATTAACATTTCAATCTTCATCACTTTATTCAACAAAAGCAAAACCGACAGATTTTCTCAAAAAACTTTAAAAATCTTTTGAAATTAAATGACGCAACGCTACTCATAAACAAAATCGGACCAGCACCTAGAGAAGAGTTTGCAAATTGGCAGGCGAGACCATTTTTGCAAAGAATTCGGACAGAATCTGCACCCACAACCCTCGAAAACATGGCCCTTTAAACACAGTTTAAGCTCCACGAGGGACTGAGTGGCTAATCTGAAGAAAACAAATCAGTAGTCCTGCATGATATAAGCAGATAAACTCTGCTCAACTTCCTTAGACAGAGCTCTTCAAAATGTTACTTCACTTCCTCCGCATCAACAAATAACGCAACAAGTTTACAAGGGGCCTCTTTTAAGGCGATCCTTGCCCATCTTTTCAAACGAAATTTATGATCCATTTCAACCAAATCGTCTTTAACAGCGACTAGTAACTCTCTGCTTACCAAAACTCCTAATCTTACACGAGGTTCGAAATTTACCTAAACAAAGAAATTTCGGAGTCATCCAAAACGAAAGGGGAGAGGTGACAACACTTACGAAAGACGAACGGCCATGAAGAGTCACTTGAAAACACTAAGCTGTTCATTCCTTACTTAACGTGTGACCTGCTTTGAATGCCAGCGAAGTTAAAAAAAAAAACAACTATTTTCTAAAAATATTTTTGAGACGGTAGAATAAGCGTTGAAAACTTTTATTCGCCTATACCTTTCAAAATTACTTTACTAAAAGAAATTCGCCAGTTATGTGACGCCTAAAAAATAACTTTTAATACGAAACTCCAGGTCGTTCTTTTAGTGGAACTACCAGTTTTCTTTGAACAAAATTCAAAAAATCGTTTGCGTTCAAGGAAAACAGGTGATTAATTGAACCAATTTTATTGCAACACTTATAGTATTACTTAATAATACTTTGTCCGCTTACAGTGAAAATGAAGTCTTACAAAAGAAAAAATTAACAAACCACCATCTCTCGCTTACAAATACGGGACAACTGTGCAATTTGCTTTTCTTCCTTGAATGTTCTAGAGAAAACTTCAAATGTCTCTTCATTAGAACAAAGTAAGGTTGCATCAAACTCGTTGTTTTGACCACAACGTTGAACATGGACGTTAAATGGTAACGTCCCACTGTCTTAAACAAATTAAAGTTAAATGGTCCACAATAAAATGCACTGAAACAACAAAAAGCACGTTAAGGCATAATAGAAATAACCAAATAGAATAATTATGACAACTGCTATACTAACCAATATCTGGCACATTTGCGTTGTTGTCCAGGAAAGACCGACGGCGCAAAAATTCGTAAGAAAAAGCCAGACTTTTGGTGTAATTTAGGAACTTCTGATAAATATCATCTATTTCACTGGAAAACCAAAGTGATTACTTGCCAGGAGGATGCTGCAGAAGCTTAGCATTCCAATGAAAGATATTTTTGGTAAACTTCAATATTCCGAGTTACCAAAATTTGAAAAAGACTCTAATGCACAAATAGCGAGATGGAAAATTAAGAGCCCTCTCAAATACATGAAGAAAACTAACTCAAGAGATTCATTTAAAAAGGCGCAGTGTCGATGGAGAGAAATATCTATTGTGACAACACCCAGATAATGAAAGATAGGACCAAAAAGGTCTATAAAATCTTCCTCTGTTTTTAGCGGTTCGACGTCAGCCAATTTTAGCTACAAAAAACTGGTTTTCACACTGAGAATGAAGAACGTCAAAATATTGGATAACGATAATTGTGTATATGAAATATCCATTACGGGCTCTACCGCTGATAGTCACAACACCTATAGTAAAAGTATGTATAGATTAGGAATTGAAGTTAGCACCTAAATTTCTCTTCTAATAGTCTGTATACTAGCAGATTTTCCCAGAAGAGTGAAAATTTCACAAAAGTTACCTTGAAAAATATTACATCCTCCTTTTTATTAACTTTCAAGCTGTCCCCTGACATATGGCGCCCAAGCCACTCTTTTAGATCATCATCTTCAATAAAGCTCGTCCCGTCACCCTCAACCTAAAAAATAAGGACATTTTCGTAAAAATCTTCTAATAATCTAAAAAGTTTCCTTCTAACGACAAAACTCCTAGGAGCCTATAACTCCTCCTTCTCTCGCTCAAGAAAAAAAAACGTTATTTGGTCACTGGTCTGTACTAAAATTTTATAAAAAGACCCCCTTACAACGCCGCAGCGATCTGCAGAATTTTATTCAGTTACACAAGTTTCTTTTCTGTATGAAAGTACCGTTCCTCTAAAACCACAAAGCGAGCAAGAATGGCCAAAATAATGTGTCAAGAAAAAATGAACCAGAGAAAACAAAACAGAAGAGGTTCGCAAAACCAGAATAGGTTTACAACAATTTCTAAATTTTCAGGCTTATCAAAATTAACGAGGGGCATTTAAACGCGCTTCCCTTCCCTGTAGCGAGACGAAATAAGACCTAACAACCAACAATGAGAATTAAAGAGGCGATCTAGTGACATTTATATACGGTAAAAGACGCAAACAGCAATATCTAAAGAAATAAATGAAAGAAAACGTGTTTAAATATGCTTATAAACTAGAAAAAAAAGAGTTACCACTACTAGCGAAGATTGAAAGCCGCTCCATGGTTGTACATGAGCAGCAAAACTTCCTACGATAGTTGCAGCGAATGGATCTGCACAACAAAGCTAAAGGAAGGAACTAAGTCAGAAATAGCAGTAGAACTTCCAAAAACTAAAAATCAAAAAATTTGTGAAATTTATCGTCGCAATAAGTACCCTTAGGTAGTGCTCTCTAAAAATGATTTCTATTCTCTTCCTGAAACAGTACAGTGAAAAGCAAACCTCTTAATCTTTCATCTGGTTGACTATAATAACCAAAATTAAAAAACACAAAACTTAAAATCTACAGCTTCTCAAACTGAAAACTTAAAACAAAACTTTTTTATGCACTGAGAGA